TGGAGGAAACTATATTCACAAAAACACTAAATACACAAAGTGGTAGAGGTTGCTGTTTTATTTGCATCCTTAAATTCAAACCATTTTTGTTGGATAGCAGACTTATGCGAGTCTAAACTAATTATCGATTGTCAGAAAAACTGATGAAACTCAGTTGAAGATGGTCAGAAGAAGCCTGAACTGAGAGACAAGATGTTTCTTATTGATCCATCAGGAAGAATCAGTGTAACCTTAAGCCAGAAAGCCAATCAGAGAATCAGAGAGCAGCTGGTGTAGTTCTGCTATCAGTCCACTAGATGTCCTCAGTAATCTCCAGTGAACTACAGAGCAGCTCAGTGCAAACATACACACATAATATATGCAGATTTTATACACACTTCATATACATTACTGTACATAAGATATACACATACCCCATAGTTTGTCTTATGAAACACTTTATATAGACACATTGTATATTATATATAGCCTATATTTTATTTAAATCTCTCTCAGCTGTGATGTTCTTGCATCAAAAAATGGCTTCTGTTTTTATTTGATTCTGTTGATAAAAAGACCAACTACAAACACTTACTTCCCATTATTCTCAGAGCGCCTGAACGTTTCACATTCCTCACGTCTCTCCCTCCAATGTTATAAGAAACTGTTTACAGTCTTTCATTCACTTTAATATTTAATATTTTATTGTTTTAGCTATTTTTTGAAATCCTCAGATGTCACTTTGTTTGTTGCCTGTGATTGTTGGGTATTTGATGACAACCTTTGAACAGTTGTTCAACCTCTGTGACAGAACACAGCAGCATCCACGAACCCATCAGTTTGTTCTCACATCATCATCAAATATTCATCTGAACTCAAACATTTTATAACATATCATTTTGGGTCAGTTTAGTTTAAATAAATAATGATGCTACACAGGAACATTATAAAAACAGAAAAGCTCTGACAGTGAAAAGAATTAAGATCCAACAGAGTTCTACTTACTCAACTTATGTCCATGAATGTCTGCCAGTCCCGCAGCTCACTTGCGTCCTGAACAGGTCTGTGTAGGAAAATATTGTTAGACTGATCTCAGTGCGACCAAATGCTTCACTAAAAACACCATCCAGCAGTAAAAAAACACTATAAACCAGTCTGAACCTGCTGCACGGGACAAAGTTCAGCTTTTACTGTTTTATTATGACTTTAACAAAAGATGTCTTCAACCCTGTGACTACAGGCCTGTTTTTATTTAATCATGTACTTCCGTCACTTGTCTTTGTCTTTATACCTACACAGTTCATCTGTCGACCAAAGTGCTGTTTAATGTTTCTGGTCTTTTGGACAGAAAGTAAATGTTTGACAAACGTCCACCAGTTGGTGAAAACTGAACTCTGAGAGTGTAAAGCTACAGACTTTTAATTAGGCTCCTCCTCCTTCATCTACAGTCAAAAGACTGTGATTGACAGCTCTCTGCTACATGCTCAGACAAGCATAAAAAATGAGTACAGAAGTATTCGTATCAAAATATACTTAAAGTACTAAAAGTACAAGTACTCATTATGCAGAATGGCCCATTTCAGAATATATTATTGAATTATAATTATTGATGCAGTCATGTGTTCATCACCTTAATGTTGCAGCTGGTAAATGTGGAGCTCGTTTTAATAACTTTATAACTTATGAATTTCCCCCGGGATCATTAAATCTTATTTTATATCTTATGCCTATAACATAACATATTATTATTAGTTTATTATATATATATTTTGTATTATTAACCTGAATCGCTACAATCTTTGCATCTAAAGTGGAGGAGTAGAAGTACAAAGTAGCATAAAATGAAAATACTCAAGTAAAAGTTCCTCAGAATTGTACTTTAGAAAATGTTGTTAGGTACTCTCCACAACTGGAAACCTGAAGAGAATAAACTGATGTTAAAACCATAAAAATATGATTATAGTTAATCATTTATCTGAAAAATCTAACAACTGACCTTCAGAACTGTTTGTCCAACAGAGACCTCAATAAAATAATAAACAGGATCATAACAGCTCAAACTATCTGTCCAGTAACAGTCCAACCCCTCCCCTTTGGCAGAGAAATGATTTCTACTTCCCTCTGATTCTAACAGCCTGAAATGTCTCAAACAGGTTTATTTATATTTATGTATTTATTTATTTCCCAGGGACAATGCACATCAAACATGTACCACAGTTAGCTAATAAGCTAACTTTCATCCGTAGACCCTGGGCAGGTTATAACAAATGAGTGTCCAATGTCATCAGTACAGTGCTTCATCAAGTTCTACAAGAACAATACAATATAATATAATACGTACGTACATTACAAAAGAACAGAGATATATAAAACAGTGAGATTATGTACAGTGCAGGTGGAAAGTATTCACGGTGCTTCACTTTTTCCACATTTTGTTATGTTAAAGCCTTATTCCAAAATTGATTAAATTCATTTTTTTCTTCTCTACACAATACCCCATAATAACAATGTGA